GGGCGAATCCACGTAAAAATATTTTTCTGCTAACTTCTGTGTAATGAAATTAATATTAGAACAAATCAGAGAATGATTTTCTATGTTAATTTATGGACTGTCTCATCGAATGCAGTACGCAGTGATTTAACAATAATCGCATTGTAAAACTATTCATGCATTCCTGTGAGTGCGATGTTCACGAGAGCGGAATGCCAAAAGCACAGACGATGTGCGTCAATGAAGGAAATCACCCTTGTTGTACGTAAAATATGGTGAACGATGACCATAGAGAAACAGGATATATTTGTATATCGAGTCAGTATCAATGACCTCGCACATTTGCATTTGCCAATCTAATCTTGTGACTGCCTGAGAAAAGAAAAATTGTTTTCGACATTACTGAAAAATGATCCAAAGTCGATTTCTTTTTGTATAGTACTACCTAGTAACATTATAGAGAAAGATACGAGAAGAAAAAGAATAATAATTATCAACATTTATTAAGAGCAAACAAATCTTTAGATATATAGTATTAACTATATTTATTACTTTTTTAAATATTTTATTAATTTTATTACTTTTAAAAATATTTATATATAGTATTAACTATATCTTTACTTATGAAATATTACAAAAAATATTTCTACCGATACTGCAGTCGATCATTATACAATTGATCATTTTTTTTCAAAAGAATGAAAAAGTCTTGCTAGTCTCTAATGAATAAATAACATACAAAAAGCGTATAACTGAAGGAATAATTAAATAAAATTAATCTATAGCTAAATCTTTATAAAAGTTGGAAAAAAAATCTTTGATCAAAGAATCGGCAAGTTAGAGCTGAGACATTTACATACACATGCTGAGAAAGTCAAAAGCGTGGATTCCATGGTTTAATTCCATGCTCGAAGATATCTTTGGGGTCAGTTAGCCTACTTACGGGAAGTTGAAATTCGTTCCGTCGTCGTCACGACCGGTTCCCTTCTTATTTCGATAATATCGACCAGGACCCCCGAAATCCAAGAAAAGGCCTCTCTATGCGATTAACGTTTCAACCGGCAAGTCACCATTTACTTAAGAATTGCGTAATAATTGTCTTCGATTTGCCAGTTAATTTGAAAGAGATTTCAAAATCTCGGTCTCCATGTCACTTTCGACCAGAGAAAGTCGTGCAGTTCATTTTGCCGTTCGTCGAACGATTAATGGAAAAAAAGATTTCGTCAGAGGCCATTTGAAGACGTTTGGAAATTGAATTGAAGAGTTAAAGATCATTCGAATAAGTAATTAACGTTCCTGATATACGAAATTCTTGTTGTTTCTTCCGATGTGATAACGATTCAATATAATTAATAATTTTCGCTGTTCACGTTACAGCTGGCGCGAAAGGGAAAATTTAAATTTGACTACTGCGCATGCGTTTCGCGATCATGTGGCGTATAATCACTATAAAGTTTAAATAACATTGTAAACATGATAATACGATATTTTAGTAAGAACAGTAAATTATAATTCGAAATGCGAGTTTTTATAATGTTCTCAATAAGAATTATTAAGTTTTTCTACAATGATATCATTTTATAGTTGTAATATGACCAACGTCAATAGCAGACAGCAGCTAAAGTCGTCTGCTAGAAACAGCTGACAGCTTAGCAGAAATAAAAACATGATTTCTGAATTTTATTGAAACTACTATGAATGTTTCTTCTCGAATTTTATGAATTTACATTTATAACGTGAAGATAAAAACGTTCGCACGAAATATCATTGTTTATTTTACAACACTTAAGGTACAAATTTCTTGACGAAGAAACACGCTTTACCGACATTTTATTAGACATTATGTAATAAAATCTACACGAAACTTAATACGATTCCCTATTTCGCATATTTATTGTTAATTATTCATTTTATAATTATACCTTTTCTGCACGTAACAATTAACATCTCGAGCCAGAAAACCCTATGTATAAGACCGCGAAAACATTTTCACGGTTGAAACGAAAGGTAGGTTATGTTCTTAACCTGACCGAATTTCTCGTGATATCTGACTGAAAGTACACGAAATAATAGGCATGTTCGCTCATATTAGAAAATACTAACATTGTATAACCAAAATGATGATTTGTAATCGCATCGTAACTGTGTTGATTATAGATAATATCTTTAGTGGCAAAAAGTAAATTTATAACGTACCTGACATTGCTGAATCAAAGTATTGGTCGGATGTTCGATTCTAGGTCGTGACTTGACACATGTCGTCGAAACTTTCCTTCGTAATTGGGCGAGATGTTTGAACTGGCACAATTTCTCTGCACAAGCACAGAGCCTACTCGACCCTACACACGCCATAGCGCAAACTATAGTGAGCCGAGTCACACGACTTGAAGACTTTCGAGTAACCAACTAGCCCCACCGACACTTCAAAATCACTTCCCCACCCACTTTTCTCTTTCCCGTCCCCACTTATAGGTATACCTGCTATACGCGGCATTAATCAAGACATTGCTAAAAAATTATAAGTAATTTTAATCATCGAATATTCTCCAACAAAATATTAATAAACTTTTAAAACAATATTATATTCAAAATCTATTAGCGACCTCTAATTGATGTTTCTGTTATTTACTTATAAAAGATATCAATTATCTCAATTACATTCTTGAATTATTTGTAGTATACAAATTAAAACACCTTTCGTGAATCGAAATATTTTCTGTGATAATTTATCTTATTTTTCATACTAGAAATTTCACAAGAATTTTATTCTCTTGTGACATATTAAATTAATTTGTAAAACCGTTAAATTTATAATTTAAGTAAAAAGAACTATATGTAGAAATCAAATAAATTTTATGACTTTCTATCTTTTAAGAATTAATTCTAACACCACATCCTGCTTTCAATCTGTGTTAACTTTTATAATCAATGGTATTTAAACATGGCGTACAATATTTTCGATAGGTTTTACCGAGCATTTAAAACATTTAATCAAGTAATTAACACTATATTGGATCGCAGTTTTCCACCAGGTAATAGAAAGAATATTTCTGTAGTATACCTTGCGTTTGATTATCTAGATAAGTCAAAAGTGAGATGTGTATATTTTTTTTACTGTTTCTAACCTTTTCAAAATATTTATTATCAATAAATTGTTAACAAATATAATAAATTATTTATCATTAATACCATCAATACTTCATTTAGGTTATTTATATGCCATCGAATACAATGTTATAAATCAAGCGCAGCCTGTTCAATTTCCTAGACAATCTATAAAGGATATCCTAAATGAAACAATTTTATGGGCTGTACCTAAAAAACGACGATCTTTAGAAAAACGTCTTAATAGAAGATATGGTATTCCTGAATATCATTGGAAACCTCATGTACCGAAAACAAATATCTTAATGTGTAGAAAATGTGGTCATGATTATGAAGCTAATACACTTTGTGGTAACATATATAATTTACGTACAAAAAATTATAATTTATTAAACAATTATCTTATATCTATTATCACATATATCACTTTCTTCAATTTTAACAGGGTACTGTTACGAAATAGTAAAAAAAGAAACAAAAGAAATGCAAATAGCTATACAAAAATCATTGCGATTACAGCCTGTTGAACAAGATGTTATAGTGTTGTATGAAGGAGAAAAAGAAAAGCTAGAAAATGACTTTTGGAAGGTATTTACATGCATATTGTATAATACATAAGATATTTCATCTGATTTTTATATATAATTTACATTTTACATTTAAATTATATCTTTGTATAGAAACAAAGAATCATAGAATTACCTAAAAAGAGGCCTGATTGGTTCCATACAAATTTACTTCAACCAACAGCAAAAGAATTACCTGATTCTGAACAAAACTTAGAACCTGAATCAAAAGATGTTAAGAATAAGTAAATAATTATTTATATTAATATGCAATTCTTGTTTATATTAAATAAATTTAAACAGAATAAACTATGGACAATTCTTGTTTTATTTTTAAATGTGACATTTTTACAATTATAAATATCTTTATAATATTCTATATCTCTTCTTGATCTCTATAATTAATGAACATAAAAATAAGTATAATATAGATGACAATCACATTTTTTGCTATTTTTATGTATTAAATCATTATTTTCATATATGATAATTGTTTTCATTAAATCTTCTCCGAGTCAACAATTTATAAAATTCAATAATAAAAAACATGTCTAGTTTTGTTAATTGTACTTAATACAGTTTTCACGGTTTGTAAAACTATCGTATTTACAAATAGCTTACCTTTATCTTAAAAAAAGAAAAATATAATATATAAAACTCTATAAAATTAAAGATACTACTCATATTATAAACCCCATTTTACACAATCATTAGTGAAGAATTTCAAAACCATCTACAGTTATTTCTTTATTAAAATGACTCAGAACATGTTCATGAAATTCTTCAAATGTGACAGTTTTTCCATATAACGATCCACATAACGGACAAATTTTATTGTCTTGGTCGGTATTATCTGCTGAATTGGAACACTTTTCTAAAGATAGGCTCGGAGTTTGAAGACTGGTTTGAGTTGCACCATGCTCTTTAATACTTTCAATAAAATTAAATTGTGTGCTTGCTTGACACATCTTTTTATTTGCATTTGTACGG